ACTACTGTCAAATGTTTAAGAGCTAAAATAACACTTATTTACAGCTTCAGTTTACAGTGATGTGTTTTGTTGTTTTACACAAAAACATTTGTACACTGAGGGCCGGATCTATCAAAGGTCTGCGTGTATAAAAACGTGAGCTATTTCACTGCACACGCTAAAAAATTTACAAACTGATCTATCAACAGCGTGCTAAAAGGATTTGGTCTTTAAAACGTGCTAAATAGCGCCTCTTATCCATTTAGTACTTTTTCTGCAATGAATATGCAATATGGGGCGTTTACACGCAAAAGTGCGTCCTGTGGGAGGAGAACATGTAAATATATTAATTTAGCACTCGCAAAGTGATTTATCAAACCTGAAAGCAATTTTGCTAACGGTATCTGACTCTATATTTAACACGTTTCAAAAGAAGGTGCAAATGGTCTGTATGCGTAATTGCGCTCACATGGCAGCGGTTATTGTTGCAAGAAGGAGACATCGAAATGAAGCAAGGACACGCAGAGAACGCATTATTTTTAACTCCGTGTGAATATTTTTGGAATGAACGAGGAAACGATCATCAAAACATATCGTTTATCCTGCATTGCCATTTTGGAGCTGTTGGGGGAACTCCGAATGGATTTGGAGCCAGCCACAAGGAGGACCCACGCAATACCAGATATCACAAAACTCCTTGCAACATTGGATCTCCCAATCTAGTTTTTCAGAAGTGCTGTCTGATGTTCTAAATGCCATGTCGCCCTGACGCCCTACTGGAGAACCCCGACACCCTGCGCCTGTGGAGCAACATGCCAATGCTGCGGGGATGCGTACGCACAGTAATCTCATCCACAGTCACTTCTTGTGAGCCATTTGGTATGTGCATTTTTCTACAGGCCAATACAAAACACCAGTTTTTTTGTTTGTTTTTTACTGCAGTGAAGTAGAAATTCAGCCACATACCACCTTAGGGAATAAAGGTTGCCAAAGTTTTCTCTTTTTTATATATATATATATATATATATATATATATATATATATATATATATATATATATATATATATATATATATATATATATATATATATATATATATTTTTTTTTTTTTTTTTTTTTTTTTTTTTTTGGGGGTCACTGTAAGATTTAAATTTCTTAATGCACTAGTTTGTACAAACCACAAACTACTTTGCTGCAAACCACAAAACGTGCAAAACCATCATTTAAATAGGGCATCTCCAACAGTTTTGCACCTGCCACCAGTTACGCAATCACTCTTGTTAAATCACCCGCAAACCATTGTTCAGCCCCTTGCGCAAAATTCCAGTTTGCGAGCGCAAATTGCTGCACGCAAAATTGGATCTTGATAAATCCGGCCCTGAGAGTCTACAAAACATGTAATAAAACCTAGAAAAGTAAATACAGTCTCAATTGGATTTCTTCTAAAAAGGTACTACATATTAGTGTATGTAGCACCACAGTTCACTGATGCAGTGCTATACAGGGCACAAGAGAATAAGCACACAGCGAGTCAGTCTGTGATCTGCCCCAGGTGGCCTGAATATCTGTGATGGTGACTCAATGGTTTTAAATCAGGTCAAAGCTGTAACATCTGAAGCTGATTTTCCATGTGACAAAAACCCTTTTCAAGTAACAGATCTAATACAGCATGGTATTGACTGTCAATCTGGGATCAAATACAGAGACTAATGCTGAAAAAAAGAAAGCATTTCACACATCCTGCATTTAGCCCAATCAATCCTGCTCTGCTGGGGTGTTTCAAGACACACATTGATCGACAGCCAAGATGGAATCTGTTCAAAGAACTTGCTGGAGAAGAAAGGTTGGAGAAATATTGAGCAAGAAGGTGAGTAATGGTCATCCATGAGTGAATTTAGCAAGCACATTTCTTTTTTTTTTTTTTGCTCTCAAAAAGGACACGATAAAAAATTAAATCAGTTCCTAGTTTGACTTAGGTTATATGTTATACTGTGATTTATAACAGGATTCACAAATAAGCCAAGAGGAATGAGGTAAAATCCCAAACCGCATCACATCAGTGCTGGCTGTTTTCATCAAAACATCAAACTGCTTTTGTAGTAAGATGGCAGCAAAAATCCAAGCCCAGAAAAATACAACTCCAACAGTTTAGAAAGCACTCGTCCCTGACAGACTGAAAAACCGTCCCCAAAAAAATGATCTGCAACCTCATGACGTCTCAGGCAATCATTCCCAATCTTCAACTGTGACAGCTCATTACAGTGTTTGGCTACTGGCCCAATACTGGCTCACTTGTTCTCTTGTCACCATGAGGACATGATCACACACAATTCAGAAGATAAATGACTCAGCCATGATCATGGCTCAAGCAGTGACACTAATCCTACATTAACCCCAGTTTTCTAAAGTAGCTTTAATTATATTTGACATTAAAAAGTTTGAATTTCCACACAAACATTAATTCCAATGTTCAGAGTGTATCATTACTGAAAAAAAATCATTACAGCCCAACCTAGCAAGTACCTGATTGTCATTATCTCTCTCTTAAATGGCCATGAAAATGCATTTGAACTCTTTATTATTTAAAACAATTGTTCTTGAAAGATGTAACATATAATTCCATTAGAGAAATAAAACAATCAGCTGCCAGTTAAATAAGTTGAAAGATTGTTGGTGCCAGAAGGGCTGGTCTGAGTATTTCAGAAACTGTTGATCTACTGGGATTTTGACGCACAACCATCTCTAGGGTTTACAGAGAATGGTCCGAAAAAGAAAAAACATCCAGTGAGCGGCAGTTCTGCGGGCGGAAATGCCTTGTTGATGCCAGAGGTCAGAGGAGAATGGCCAGACTGGTTCGAACTGATAGAAGGGCAACAGTGACTCAAATAACCACCCGTTACAACCAAGGTGGGCAGAAGAGCATCTCTGAACGCACAGTACGTCGAACTTTGAGGCAGATGGGCTACAGCAGCAGAAGACCACAGCGGTGCCACTCCTTTCAGCTAAGAACAGGAAACTGAGGCTACAATTTGCACAAGCTCATCGAAATTGGACAATAGAAGATTGGAAAAACGTTGTTTGGTCTGAAGAGTCTCAAATTCTGCTGCGACATTCGGATGATAGGGTCAGAATTTGGTGTCTACAACATGAAAGCATGGATCCATCCTGCCTTGTATCAACGGTTCAGGCTGGTGGTGGTGGTGTCATGGTGTGGGGAATATTTTCTTGGCACTCTTTTAGCCCCTTGGTACCAATTGAGCATAGTTGCAACGCCACAGCCTACCTGAGTATTGTTGCTGACCATGTCCATCCCTTTATGACCACAATGTACCCAACTTCTGATGGCTACTTTCAGCAGGATAATGCGCCATGTCATAAAGCTGGAATCATCTCAGACTGGTTTCTTGAACATGACAATGAGTTCACTGTACTCAAATGGCCTCCAGAGTCACCAGATCTCAATCCAATAGAGCATCTTTGGGATGTGGTGAAATGGGAGATTCGCATCATGGATGTGCAGCCGACAAATCTGCGGCAACTGTGTGATGCCATCATGTCAATATGGTTCAAAAACTCCCTGAGGAATGCTTCCAGCACCTTGTTGAATCTATGCCACAAAGAATTGAGGCAGTTCTGAAGGCAAAAGGGGGTCCAACCCGTTACTAGCATGGGGTACCTAATAAAGTGGCCGGTGAGTGTATATATATATATATATATATATATATATATATATATATATATATATATATATATATATATATATATATATATATATATATATATATATATATATATATATATATATAAATATAAATAAATAATGTTAGAACTGTAAATTTACAGTCATTGTTACTATTTTTCAAGGCTGCACTTTTAAAAAATAGCTGTTTCTAAATGAAATTTCTTTTTGTTTTTACACTTGTGTAAACAAAATGACAAATAAAATCTGTCTAATATATATATTCTTGATTGTTTGCATTATACACCTTGCCCAGGGACAACGTTTTGAAAACTAGCTTCATACCTAATACTGACACATTTGCAGAAGTCTGTTCCTGACATAAAAAAATTATAAAAAATGTTTTTATTTATTTATTTATTTATTTATCAATTAATAAAATTCATGATTTTTTTTACAATACTTTACAATTATTAATCAGCGAATCAAAAACAATTAAATATGTGATTTAAAATGCTACGAATTCCAAATCTTAGGCAAGGAAAGATGCCCTTTCTTAGCAAGTACAGCAACCCTACAGAATGCATTACTGCCTAGATTACCAGCTGCCAACATCTCCATCGATCGGTAAATGCAGCCCAGCAGACCATCAAGCCACAGCTTCCAGACCTAAACACACTCAGTATACAATCAGACTACAGAGAAAAGGGTAGCAGTGTAATCAAAGACATATCACATTGAGGACACCATCTGCTTCCATCTAGAAAATGGTTCAAAACAGTAAAATGAAGCAAGAACAGAATGACAAGCAGCCTTATTCCAAGATATATGGCTTTCATTCCAACTTCTCTCGTATTTTATTTTATACAGTGGGGTTAAATGTACACATTAATGGTTTGGCTAATTTTAGACATACAGCGTAGTTGCTGCTTACCAGATTATTTTCCAATCATTTCTATAGCCGATAAAAAATTTTTTTCTTTTTAAATATATATTTTAAATAACATGCATGTTTTGTATTTTTTTACCAGCCTGTTTTACCAACAGTTTCATCATAGTTTTGGTACAACTACGACATAAGCTACTTAGTCTAAACAAAGGAAATCAAGTGCAGTTTTACACTTTACTATACCTCACGTTGTGCTTAGCTGAATTTTCAAAAGTAAATCCATTTTTTTCATGGCTTAAAATTTATTCTCATCACATTGTCATTCATTAAGTTGAAATTGTCGTTGATCAAAAGGACATATGTTATCTGGTTTACATCTTTACAAACAGCCTTTGTTTATCTTTTTTGTTTCATGTCACATTGGATTTGGATATTAAAGACAGACTACTTACTGTGCTGGCAGTGAACTCCACTAAAGCCTGGAGGACACTTGCACACATAACCAATGAAGGTATCGCCTCTGTACGTCTCACTGATCTCACACGTTCCTCTGTTGTGGCAAGGGTTCGGATGACAGGGGCCTGTGCACAAACAAAAGGAAACAGACACACATAATGAGTACCATTTGCCAAGTAATTTGCTAAGTAAACAAAAACATAATGCAACTAGATTATTTACTCTTTTGAAGAATATTGTTTTTCTTTGTGTTCTCTCAGAGTAAATAAACCTCACCCAGTCAATAATTTGAGATCCACATAAAACAAAACCATATGTTTTCTGTATGTTTAGAAATTCATTTCTTTAAAACCCTATGAGACTGTGTGCAATTACACAGGTATTTAACTGGGAAACAAAGAGGATGCAAGGCGAGAACCAGGTCTTAAAATTGTTCAATGTCTCCGCTTTAGGAATACCACACTGCTCACTGATGGATGCAAGAAAAAAAGTATAGACTAGGATCAAAGTATTGTAGACTCTGTCAGTATGGTAACTGTTAGTTCTGCATTCAAAATTGCATTCTCTTTTATGGAAGACTGGCAAAAAAAAGCTATTGTTCAAAGAATATAATAGAATTTCAACTCTTTTGATCCCAACAAACTGCTGTGTTTGCACTGAAAGTATTAACATTCATCACCCTTTAAAAAACAATGACCACTGTGAAACATGGCAGCATTAAGCAAATTTTTTCATTTATTAGATTGCTCTAGTCAAACTCTAGATTTAACTTAAACTCAATCTCTAACAACACTTAAAAAAGGACATCCACTAGCACCACCCAATCTCACATGGTTTAAGAGAAAATAATGTATTTGTAATTTAGAGTATTAAAATGCAAGCATGATTATTCTTTCCCTTTACAATTACTTGATACTCTGATTAATCTATAAAATAAAATCCAAATAAATTGTGGAAAATGTTAAATAATATGAACAGTTTTGCCAAACTAGGTGTATCACTATTTAAACTGGTTTGTTGTTTTTTTTTTTATCTCCAGCATTTCTGATTGCTAATTATTAAGGGTTTACCCTTTTATTTACATATGGTGAATGCACATGTACAAATCTGAATCTCTGAGAATGCCTTAATTGATTGCATTTTTAAATTTTCTTCTGCTCCACTGGATGAATGATGGGGATAAACTGGGAGATTGATTGACCTGCTGCCTTTCATTTTTCAATGATTTCAAAACCAGTGGGTGACATGTACCAAAGAGCAGTAGGTTGCAAAATGCCCAACAGTACACACTCTAGAATCTCAGAAAGTTTTCCAACAGGTAAAGCATGATTACGCTTATTTTTTTAATCATACTTTATTAATCATGTCATGGGAAAAGTACAATTTACATTTTATTAAAATTTTATTCACATTTTTATAATGCAAAATTTTTTATGCGTATGCTAAAAGACATTTAAATTTATTAATAAAAAAAATCATAACTTTTCCATCTGAATAACAATATATCAGAGGCCAGCTCAAAGCTTGGGCCCAGACGATTTATAAGCAAGAGTCATTAAAACCAAATCATTATTATAAATCAGCAAGACAGAAACTTGATTTCAAGAAATGAAATAGGCAAACCACTCAGGTTTCCAAAGTTTCCTCTGACAATTTCATAACTTGAGGATCAAAGTCTTCTTTGCAGATTAAGAAAATGTGCTACTATTCGAATACACCTAACAACTTCTTTGCAGCAACCCCTCAATATTATCAAGTGAAAAGCAGGATTTTTTCTTGCAATGGGGATTTGAGATAGGATAAAAGGGAAGAATAAGAAATATATTGGGAAAAAAAGAAACTGTTGGGAAATCTTTTGAGCATTCCTTAAAACGTCTGGCAAAAGAACACAGGAGTGGTTTCAGGGAGACCGTAAAAGTCCTGTATTGACCCAGTTAGGTTCATAGTGCAGTGAATCAGCCCCAGAGGGAACTGGAAATGAAACTGTGTTCATGTTATGGCTTAAAATGTTCTTTCTTCGATGAAAAAGAAAACTTCAAAGAATCGCTGTGCCAGGCCTGTATAATCCTTCTGGAAGAAGGCTAACATTGTTGCCAAATTTACCTTAGCCATGTAGAAAAAGAAAAACTCAAAGGTTCATTTTAACACAATTTCTCAAGGCTGAGGCTTAACATTTTTATAATTTTAGAAAGTTTTGTTCCTGTTTTTACTTTTTCCCACAAACTTACACAATTAGCAACTTGCAAAAGTATTGCAAACTCTCTCACATTTCTATTCTATACTACTACCTGTTGGCATTTTATATAATTGAGGGTAGATCATATTTATGGCATGAACGTGGAAATGGACATATGATTTTCTTTTTTATGTAATAAAAAAAACAGTGATAACCATTCAATCCCACATAGTCAATGCATTGCAAAGATCACTTTACAAAAAAAACACTTAAGAACATTTATTGTCAACAGAAAAGTTTTAATTTACATTTGATAGCATGCACCCTAGGGTCAAAATATAGATACACACTGTGCAAAACAAACAGGAATAAGATTTTTTTTTCTAAATCATTCAATGATTGATAGCTCTGGCTATATATTCTGGGATATTGTTTTGCTTGAAGCTGAATCTCTGTATCTTTAACAATACATTTTTTTTTTTTCGTGACAATCCTCCAGAGAAACCAGGCCCAAAGCCCTCGCTAGCATGAATAAGAATGGACTTGACCTCTACCACCTCCTCATTCCACTTAGTGGGAGAGGGGGGTCATCTTCTCAGATCTTACCAGGAAAGAACTCAATTTTGGTTCACCTCTTTTTAGAGGGGACCAATATCCATGCAGATGTTGTAATATTTTATCTCTAGAATATGAATGTATATACTGTATATTTAACTAGAACTGGATTTGTAGTTAATGGATACATCATTCAAAATTAAGGGTAAAACCAATTTAATGATTTCAAAAATCTAACATCTATGCAAACACTACACACTATTGCAAAATCTAACACAAGGTAGACTAACTGAATAAGTTAAAAGAGGGGGAAAAGGTGTCTAAGAGTCCGTTGAAATGGCTTATAAAGGGTTTATAAGGAAGACCAAATGTCAATACATTCATTAATCTCAGTTAAAAAATAGCAGCAGATATAAATGCAACTATATATACTGTTAAAACAATGTAACTTAATTCAGCTTACAATGGTTACTGTTTAAAAATGTTACAAATCAACAATATAGCATTGTGGCACCTCAGTAAAACTACATTCAACTAACTTAGTTAGATAAAGGGGGGAGGGTGCTTTGATGCAGAGTCAACATGGATCAAGATGGTGGACCTACTACTGTAGGTGGTGATTACCAAATGGTGGACCTTATCATGTGACTAAAGGGGATGGGTCACAGCTTCTCCAAGGTGATTGGTCTTTGTTTTGTCAGTTATTTGAGGTGACAGGAATTTGAGGCTTTGATAACTGTTTCCTTCTTTTTAGCAATGTTGTATCACAACACCGAAAATAACCTTTTTTGGGGAAAATTTGCATTATTTCTCAGGATGAAGTACCAGGATATGAGTCCTACTTAGAATGTATAACCAGTTTTGACCTACTCAGCTCAACTTCCACCTGACCTTTAGAGAAACCCTACTTGCACCCCAACAGGTGATACATCAGTCCTCATCTGTCACCCCTCATCTGGCAGCACACAGGTATGTTTCCAGAAACATTCCACCTGCTGTCAGCTCCAACCATCATTCCCCATGGAACCGACTCCTCCTCAGCAAAGGGGGGTTACACTCCATTGATTCTATTGAGAGGTGCACTGGGTCTAATCAGTTACCATTTGAATAGAAAGAAGTAAATATTTAGCGTTTGTAATGTTAATCTCCATTTGATAGGCAGACAGAATCAAATGCACCCAAACATCTGCTTCATTTCAGGAATGCAGCTTGCCTCTTGACCAGAGGGACACATCAGTGCATAAATCAGGCAGGTCCAGTGTATGTATAAAGCCAAGGCCAGCCAAACATGCACTAATCCCTAACGGCTTCATATTCTATATTCCACATTTCTCAATGTATAAAATGGTTCGTTGTTGAAAGCAATGACTTTTCAGGACATTCTAGAGATTAGATCAATGCCAAATCCTCCCATTATTTAAAGAAATAACATTTATTGGCTTAAATCCATGTTAAATGTTGGTTTTGGCAAGATAAAACCAATAATTACCTAAAACCCACTTAATATTAGCCAATCATAATGCTGATCCCAAACTGGGGGAGCAGAAGTGGGGCCAAGCTGTTCTCAGGAAGTTCATAAGAACCCCAACGCAACCCTCTCCTGCTTTTTGCTTGCTCGAACAGCATCCATACAGTATGGTGCTGATACCATCATGTTTCACAATGGAAAGTCTGTTCATGGTGGTTTTCAGTTTTTGTTAAATGAGGATAAAGCTTAACTCTTTTGGTCTTACCTGACCAAAAATTCCTTCTGCCATATATGTGCTCCATGATTCTATTGGGTTGCGGTGAACTTTTAAACAGAACTTCTTAAGAACATTTTAAAGGCAAAAAGCTTAATCCAATTGACCTGTATTCTTCATATATTCAGATGAAGAGTTTCAGTGCTTTGTCGAATTTGTTTAGCTTTGTATACTGTTTTATTACTTAATAATGCTTTAAACCTTTCCACATATTTAGTGTAAGGGTGATCATGGATCAAGAGGTAGGGAAACATGGTTCCTGTTTTTGGTGGTAAGAGGGCCTGGTGGCACCAATTGTATCCAATTGATTAATCCAGATGTGTTTGGTCATGGTTGCTGAGGTCAGGCACACCTGGACTAATCAGTTCATCCAGTAATGAAAGACTGGAAACAAAAGAGCTGCCTTGAGTTCAGGAGGTGGTGGAGTTGTGCATAGAGCCCATTGCAGCAATTTTTCAGTCAGTTGGGTCCGGGGCAGCTGTGGCTACAATGTGACTTACCAGCATCCCCATGTGAATGTGTATATGAATGGGTAAATGGCTGAATTTCGTGTGAGACATTTTGGGGTTCTAGGACTCAATAAAGCAGGTAATTTACTATCATGGATCTGTCTGCTTTGTTCCTTGGTCTTCATGAAGCTGTCTATTCATTA